TTCATTTCATTGAATTTTATTTCATTTTATTATTTTATTTTACTTTATTTTATTTTATTTTATGATTTTATTTTTTTATTATATTTCATTTCATTTAATTTTATTTCATTTTATTATATTTCATTTAATTTAATTTTATTTCATTTTATTATTTTATTTTACTTTATTTTATTATTATTTTATTATTTTATTTTATTTTATTTTATTTCATTTCATTTAATTTTATTTAATTTTTTTTATTTTATTAATTTTATTATTTCTATATTATTTATTTTATTTTTATTTTTTATTTATTTTTATTTATTTATTTTTATTTTATTTTATTATTTTATAAAATAATATTTTATATTATTTACTTTATTTTATTTTATTTTAATAATCTCTGAATTCCCAAATAATGTCTCCTCTCTCTCTCCCGTTTGCTTTGGGAATCTCGGAATTCTCAAATAATGTTTTCTCTCTCTCTCCCATGTTCTTTGGGAATCTCGGAATTCCCAACTGACGCTCCCTGGTTTTGTTTTCCGTGCAGGTGAGAGGCTGACGGAGGAGGAGGTGGATAAACTCATGGCTGGGCAGGAAGATGCCAATGGTTGCATCAACTACGAAGGTGGGTCTGAACCCTCGATTCAAATTATCCTGAAAAAGTTCAAATCCATGGAAAACCTGCAGCAGGACATGTGCTTTCCCAAATTTTAGACCGATTCAGAGTCTATAATTCATCTGGTAAATTCTATTTATTGCAGGTTAATTCGATTTTCCATAAATAATGACCACGGTCCTTTCTGTAAATTGCTCTTTTATTTACCTATTTTTTTTAATTTTAATGTTATTTTTTCTACCTGATCCCACAATTTCTTGTCCTCTCAAAAAAAGGATTCACATCCCTTTTGAGACTGACAGAAAATATGGAAGGTGCTCAATTTTACTTTATTATTTTATTTTAATCGACTTTATTTTATTTTAATCTGTTTATTTTATGTTATTTTACTTTATTTTAATCTACTTTATTTTAATTTAGTTTTATTTTACTTTTATTTTATTTTATTTCATTATTTCATTTAATTTCATTTCATTTGATTTCATTTCATTTCCTTATTTATTTTATTTTATTTCCTTTATTTAATTTTTTTTTTTTAATTTTACTTAATTTTATTTTTGTGATTCCACCTGAAATCACCCTCAAATTTCTCATTTACTTTTCTGGAACTCATTTGATCCCTTCCTTCCTTCCTTCCTTCCTTCCTTCCTTCCTTCCTTCCTTCGTTCTTTCCTTCCTTCCTTTTTATCCTTTTTTTTCTTGTTTTATTTTATTTTATTTTATTTTATTTTATTTTATTTTATTTTATTTTATTTTATTTTATTTTTTATTTTATTTTTTATTTTATTTTTTATTTTATTTTTTATTTTAATTTAATTTTATTTTATTATTTAATTTTATTTTTATTTTATTTTTATTTTTTATTTTATTTTTATTTTAATTTTTATTTTATTTTATTATTTTATTTTATTTTTTATTTTTTATTTTAATTTTATTTTACTTTATTTTTTATTTTATTTTAATTTTATTTTACTTTATCTTTTATTTTATTTTTTATTTTATTTTAAGGGTAAGTGACCATTGTATCATCCTGGGGATTTCACTGATCTGTCATGTTCACAATAATAAATATTAACCCATTTAATAAATATTTGGGTCAATGCTCTCCTTCTATTTACAAATCCCTTGAATTAATAAATTAACAAAATTCACAGAACAAGGGAATTATTACATCAAAACCTCTATTTCTTTTCTTTTAAAATTCAAAATTATATATAATTGGTTTTTTTTAAAATAGAGATGACTCTTCTTTTTTTTTTTTCCAGCTTTTGTGAAACACATCATGGCAAACTGAATTCCAGGTGAGTCTTCCCTCTGATTTCCACAGGACATTTTATTGGATTTAATTGGAATCCTCACAGGATGGGTATTTTTTCGTGTGGACTCACAAATCCCTGGATTTGGGGTATTCTGGGATCCTGGGCCTTCTAAAAAACCTGAGCTGAGCAGGGAAAAAACAGAAGGAAAAAGAGATAAGAAGGAATAACAAAACATTTTCCAGGAGGATAATTAGTGGCCTCCCATAAATCTGCATCCCAACACCTCGTGACAAAGGGATTTATTTCCCAGGAAAAGACTTTTTCCAGCACTTTTCCAGGCTTTGGGCAGTTGTGGTGTCCAACAGAGGGAACTTTGCTGCCAACATTCCCTGCTCATCCCTCATTCCCGTTTCCCTGGAAAAGCTGGCTTTGCCTGGAGCTTTCCATCCCACTCCTGGGGAAGGAGTTGTCCGACTCCATCTCCTCAGGAAAGGATTTGCTGAGCTGGTGTGGTGGTTTGAGGCCCCTCAAAAATCCAATTTCCGAGTTCAAACCCCCCTCCCACAATTTGCCTCAGTGTGAGAGGGTTTCCAGACAAAACCCAACCACTCAGCATTGGGGGAAGGGGAAAATATTTACAAGGTTTATTTACATATATATATATATATATATAGATAACAACTTAACTATTTTTTCTGCAATGAAATAATATATTTACATTAGATTAAATTTCTCTTTTTCTTCAACAAGAGTCCGGGAAGAAAAGAGAAAAGTCTTTTTGTCGCCTTTCAGGTCACAGTTCCTTCAAATTAGTTTCTGTGGTGTTAGTTTTAGTGTCCTTTATTTTTAAGGCAGCAGGTTTGAGTATTGCAGTCAGAATTTTTCTGTTCTTTGTGAAAATCCCAATCCCTCGAGCCCGAGCCTTCGGGGGATTTCCTTGGAGACTTTCACTCTTTTTCTCCGGTGCTGCTGCATTTCGGAATTCCCTTCAAAATGGAATTCCACCCCGGGGTTAACCACTTTCTGACCCCAGGGGAAAACACTTTTTATCCCAGGACACCTGGGAAAAGCAGGGCCTTTGTTTATTTGGGATGGTTTGGGTTTGCTCTGGTGGGTTTTATTCTTTTCCCTCTGTCTGGAGTTGTTTTTCCAGCTGATCCCAGCTCGGTTTTGGGTTTGGAGCTGACTTTTCCCAGCCCACCCAGACCTGTCTGTTGTGGGGGGAGTTGGGATTATGTTCCCTGTGCCCTCAGGGAGGGAGTGAAGTCGGAGTCACATCCAGGTTTTTGGGCACTTTTGTTCCGAGATATAATTGAACCAAAACATAAACAAGCTAAAAAAAGATAACTTGGGGGTTTTGGGGTATTTTATCTTTTTTTTTTCCTTATTATGATCCATTTTGCTTTCTTAAAAAGACATTTATCTTTGAATTTAGGGTTGACATTTTTTCCTCACCTTTGGAAGGTCTGAGGTGCCTCTATGGAGGTGTTTACCCCTGTTTCCAGCCCTAAAATGGGTCCAGTTGGATGGAGAATTCCCAGTGATTCACCTCATCCAGGAAGGGATGTGGATGAAGTGAGTCCTGGTGCCAACAGTGAGAAGGACAAAGCATTTCCAATCCATATGGGAATGTCCTGAATGCCTTGGGGGTCTCAGATTGCACCAGATCCTTGTGGTTTAGGAGCTCCTGAGGATCTCAGATTGAGTCAAACCCTTGTGGTTTAGGAACTGATGAGAACTTCAGATTGAATCAAATCCTTG